TCTTATTAATAAATAATTAATATGTAGTATGAATAATCATATATATATATATAGATATATATTACAGGTTCTCACAGTTCAAGCAATGAGCTTTGTTATCCATGGTCCACCAATTAAATTATACCCGAGTTGCATTTTAGTCTCTCAATTAAATTATTCGTTCAAATGGTCCACCAACTCTTTATTAATCAGCACATTGGTCCTATCTGTTACATTATGTTAATATTGTCGTCAAATATAGGGGTAAAAGAGTCCAGTTAAATAAAATAGTAAATAAATTAAAAGAAAAGAAAAACCTATCTCCCTCTCCCAACTCCTAGCTCCTAGCCCCATCTTCTTCTCCCCACAACCCACCCTTTCTTCCCCTCCTGCCCTGTCCCCTCCTCCCCCTCTATTTCTCTCTTCAATTGCCCCAGGCCCCCGTCTTGTCCCCCCCACAGCTACCCCTATCTTCTCCATGTCCCCTCCTCTCTCCCTCTATATCCTAGAGAGGGAGAGGGAGAAAAAGGGGGACGGGGATGGGGAGAGTGGGGTGCTGAGATGCTATTGCAAACCCACAATGAGATGGGGGTTGGGATTGGAGTGGGGGAGGATGAGATGGGGGTGGGGTTGGGTGGGCTAGTTTTTTTTTTTTAGGGTTACTTTTTGTTGTTTTTTTATTCATTTAGTTTCTAATTAATTTTAAAAATAAAGAAAATTTTGTATTAATTTGTAATCCTATTTTTTTTATTTTTTAAGTTGTCAAAAGTCTTATTTACCCCCACAAATGTAGCATGTGCTGTTCACATGACTAAATTTAATAAAAAATGTAATGATATAACCAATTCGCCAAATAATAAAGAGTTGGTGAACTATTTGAATGAATAATTTAGTTAACAAACCAAAATACAACTAGGGTATAAATTTAAGGACCATTTAAGTAAATAACCCCACCTATTATATTCTTCCCCAACCTCTTCTAGTTTTTAGAAGATCAAAAAGAACTTGGGGACTTTGCAGGCACAAAGGCATATTCTGATGGTGGTACGATATGAAGGTATTGATTGTCTGGGAATTGGCCCAATCATCCATCCATTGTTCTGAATTATAAAATCTTATAAGCAAGCAAATTATGCCATAATACGAAAATAAAAATTTATGTTAGTTTTTCTTCATTCCCGGAACGTGGTAAACGTTCTCCAAGACTTTTGATCCTCCTTTCATGGGGGAAATGGGCAGGTCACCCACATTCTCCACTGGATGTACAGTGTTGTCAGATGTACATAAAGAACACCTTTAGTTGTTAAGGACAATGCATGTTGTTGGTTTGAAATGAGCTGAGAAGTTCTTGCAGAATGATTCATCATTGGGCTGAGAAGTTCTTACATAAAGAACACCTTTCATCTTGGATATCAGTGGGTATGCACTATATTTTGCTTAGAGCTCGTTGTTATATTCGTTTTCTTCAACATTGTCTAAAAGGTTGGTCTGGATAGGACAGAAATAATAATCATCAATATCAGATATGCAACTCTTTAGGGTTGGGTAGGAATTTGTTTATGGAAATCGTGAGTGACAAGGTAGTGGGTGCTTTTAGTAATGTGTCTTCTCTTTATCGTTTTGTCCCATCTCTCTTCAGGATAGTTTCGTCAGAGCATTCTAATAACAACGGCGAGATGTTCATTTAACCTAAGTAGGTAAGTCAACACACAAATGAGAGAGGATGGCACTATGCCCGTGTGGAGAGGTCCAATTCCATTAAGATAGATTTATAAAGTTCAGAAATGTGCAACAAATCCCCAACAATGATCAGATTGACAAACTCCAAATAAAAACACAATCTTTATACAAACACCTTCAACAACAGAAATTACAGAAACCCTAGCAAATAGATTAGCTAAGCCTCTACAAACAAAATACAAATCGATCTCAATAAACTAACAACAGAATCGAAACCAAAGAAAATGAATTGGGAATTGAAATTTCTCTGAAATCAAAGTCGGAAATCTCAAGGTGCGTAAGATGAAGAAGTAGCGCAGCTGGGTTTAAAGTTGGTATTTATATTGGGAGAGAGTCAAAACAAAACCCTAGACTTATAAGAACGCACGGGTGGGTTATCTAGTCGGCTCACCAAAAGCAGGCCCACTCGACCCGACTAGAAATAAAAACGTAAATAAAACGCTGCTTGAAAACAGAGACCTTTCAGGTTTCTAACTTTGTTCAGAGTGAGAGACCATCAGTAAAGCATTCTGGGCACATTTCTACTCATGGTACAATGCGCAAGCTTCAGCATAAAAGTTTTGGGATGCCACTATATTGGGGACCCTCTCTCCTTACATCAGAAGATTTTGTACTATTAGATCTGTGAATAATTTCTTTCCATTTCCATCCAAGTATGCCCTTGAACCCTTGAAAACATACTTTTGTAATGAAAAAGAAGCAAGAGAAATGAAAACACAAAAAGTCAAGTGAAAGATATCACTGGTGGTCCAATTAGGAGCTGATCAATGAGACTCTGCCTAATAAGTATATTTGATATATTTCCTTTTTGCAGGAACCGTCAATGCGACAGCTGCACCTACATGTTATCAGCCAGGATTTTAATTCAACACATTTGAAGAACAAAAAACATTGGAACTCCTTTAATACTGATTTCTTTCGAGACTCTGTCAATGTAGTGGAGGAAGTCAGCAGTGATGGAAAAGCAATACTAAAAGATGATGAAGACCTTCATGGAGTTGCGACGATGTCACCGGGGTGTAGAAGTGCTCACCCGAACATACCCCGATTAAAATGGCACACTAACTCCACGTAGAGGGCCGTGAGCAAGTGTATTCTCATAGCCCAAGGAACATTTGGCTAGTGGCTACATATGACTTCCAATGCCTCCATAGTATTCCCATGCATGTTAGCTATTGGCTTTCCAAGATTACCGTGTTGACTCAATGAATTAGCTAAATTAGCTGAACTCAAGAAAGAAAGAAAAAAGATGCGGAATTCCAATTTTGATGGCATAATTAATGAAATTGATGCTTCAACCTAAAATTTACGTTTAGCCAGGTGACATTTGAGGCACAACGAAAAATCAGACAAAAATCTTGAAAAATTATAATTAAAAAGATATTACTCATATATTTGATTTTCAAACAGTCTCCGTCCATCCTACCAAATAAATAATTAAAGTATTTCTTAAGAGGTATTAATCATGCAAGTTTTGTCGTCTCTAATACCACTTGTTTTGGTTTATGTGGTGAAGGGAGTAGGACGACAGACAGGGGAGGCCCTGGCATGGTGCAAGTGGTGCCATCACATAGGGTCCTCGATTTTTGAGGGCCTGCAAATTTTTTTTCTTCATATTGTATATATATATATTATAAAACTATATATACTCTAGCGTGCAACACATTGACACATAAGTGTATTTGGTCAAGTTGGTTTTTAGCACATATCCCTTGGTACAAGGCCTAGGTTCAAGTCTCCATCCTACCAAATAAATAATTAAAGTATTTCTTAAGAGGTAATAATCATGCAAGTTTTGTCGTCTCTAATACCACTTGTTGGTTTATGTGGTGAAGGGAGTAGGACGACAGACAAGGGAGGCCTTAGCATGATGCAAGTGGTGTCATCGCATAGGGTCCTCGATTTTTGAGGGCCCACAAATTTTTTTACTTTATATTGTATAAATTAATATTATAAAACTATATATACTTTAGCGTGCAACACATTGACACATAAGTGTATTTGGTCGAGCTGGTTTTTAGCACATATCCCTTAGTACAAGGCCTAGGTTCAAGTCTAGGGTTATCAGCAAAACTAAACTATTAGCAATATATATCACATTCATATGCTTTCTCCTAAAAATTAAAAAAATTAAAAAAAGTAATTTCTTCCACTCAAAACAAATTGAGCCTTCTTCTTTCTCTTGAACTCTTATTTTTTTTTTCACCGAACATAATAATATTTAACTTTATCACATGAAAACATTAAAAAAATTATGAATTTGATTTATGATTGTTACTACATGCTAATTGATGATGAACTTTAATTATTAAAAAAAAAATTTGATTTATGACATTAAGTCATGGTAATTTTTTTTTTTTTTAGTATTTTCATGATAGATTATATGAGGGCTCTAGTTTAAGTTTCGCACAGGACTTTTAAAATCTCAAGACCGGCCCTGACAATAGGACTAATAGTTGAAAAAAAATGATTTTATTAATTTAGCGGAATATAGTACATGGCTTTGTGTACAGAGAACTGGAGGCCTTTACGTGGTTATTGGCCACCACATTTGATTTAGATTAATGAGTTTATTGGCTCCACAATGTAATTTGGTTTTGGATAGCTCTTAGCTCCCTAGCTTAGGTTGGGAGCCTCTTGTTAGCTCCTGTGAATTTAGTTTTGGGTATCCTTTTTTTTATCTCCCATATAGATTGAGAGTTTTCTTAGTTAACTCCACCTTGTATTAGTACATTCATGCCTAATTATATAGATGCGAACTTTCCGCCATACTCCAATTGTCCCACCGACTTGGGACTTGAACATAATTCCTAGCCATCAGCTTGTGTCTTACACTAGGAAGTTCTACAGACTTCTATTATCTTAGTGACTATTTGTACTCTTAATTTTTCTAGAATTCTCTATATGACAAATGAGCATTAACTTCAACAAATACATTCATTTATTTACAGGCTTTCGATGTGGTATATGCCAAGGTGTTCATTGAATTTACCAAGGTTCCGTAGTGGAATAGGATTTGAAGGCATATGAAACTCATGACAACCTTATAACCATGGCATTCAATACATGATTATGGCATAATACTACAAAAGAAACAAAAAACTGAGGAAACAAAAGATAATTTTGCTTTAAACTCACATTGCATTATACTACACACATGATTATGGCATAAATTAAACTAAAATATGAAAGCAGAAGCATACTGCTAATTTCATCGATCTTTAAATAAAGAAAAAGAACACGAGCCTCAGCCCCTTCATGCATTGTTCCTCCTAATCAATTCAACGTCTCCACCACCTTTGATTTATGTGAACATGTCCTCGATGAATACCAATTCTTTCCTCTAGCTGAGGGAATATCTTGAGAAGGATGTTGTACATAGCTCTGTAATACCACTTACTCCATCTCTTGCACAACACAAGTGACCCAACGGCAACTCCAAAGCCAAATGTAAATCCAATTTCAACACTGATAAGATCCCAATTCACCTCACGATGATGTCCAAAATTTGGAGGCCTTCCATTCACTGTTGCTGGTGGTTGCAATCCTGCTTTGTCATCCACCGTCAAAGGAGGTCCCCATAATCCTTTGTTACCTGTAAATGAGTCTTTTGGAAATGTTGAAAATTGAGTACCGGTTGGGATTCTGCCGACCAATTGATTATTTGAGAGATCCAAGACTTCGAGGAAAGTAAGCTTTACCAACTGTGGTGGAATTTGTCCGCTCAGCTTGTTATGTGACAGGTCCAAGGACTCAAGTACCCCCATGTTACCAAACGATGGTGGGATTTCGCCTGTGAACGCATTTCCGGACAAGTTAAGGACATGTAGTGATTTGAATTCTCCTATTTCCTTAGGTATTGGTCCACTGAAATTGTTGCATGAGAAGTCAATCAAGGTGAAGATAGATAGAATCTTTAGCAGATCCATCTGTGAACCTTTGCTAGTAACTGTTATTCCATCCTCAAAAGAATAATCAACATACGTTATTCGCGCACCATGGTCCAAGTGGACTTTGACTATTGATAGGGAACCATTGTTGGTAGTCATCATTACCTGCCATGCTGTCAAAAACATTGCCGGTATTTCACCAGTGAAATTGTTGTGAGCTAGATGTATGATTTGAAGCATTGGCCAGGTACCATAGGTGTTGGGGCATCCAATACCTCCATAAAAGTTGTTGGACTGCAACACAAGGACACGCAAGGTGGATATGTTTTTTAACAAGCATGGAAAGCTATCTGTTATACGATTGTTTCCCAAGTTTAAAACCTGTAACCGTGTGCAGTTACCTAGAGATTTAGGGAATTGACCACCTAACTGATTTCCACCAAGTTCAAGAATTTCTAGTGAACTATCTTCAGTAACTTGAAAATTAGAAATAGTTCCAGTGAGGTTGTTTCTTGCCAAATTAAGTACTCTGAGACTGCGCATTGCAGTCAAGCATGGGGGGATAATGCCACTCAGAAAATTATTGGACAGATCAAGAATTTGAATATCAGTTTCCACATTGCATATTGACACCGGGATGAGCCCATGCAAGTTATTGCTTGAAAGAGAGAAGGACAATGTGAAAGTGAGGAAATAACCAATGTCAGATGGTATAGAGTTGAAATGGTTGCTTGAGTAATCCAGATACACAGCAAATGGTATGAAAGTAGGGATTTGTCCCTGGAGTTGGTTTGAGTGAAGATCAAGCGTAAGCACTGTTGAATTATGTAAAGGAGCTTCTAGAGTTACCAAAGAGTTGCAAGAAAGATTTAAGTAATCAAGATGATTTAAACTCCAAATCCAATGGGGTATCTTGCCTTGAATCTGGTTTTCTGAAAGGTCCAAAGAAATTAATTTGGATTGATTTCTCAAAAAATCTGGAAATGTTCTCAAATTGGTAGAAGCCAAATCCAAAAACTCTATTTCAGGAAATGTGGAATAAGAGCCATCAGAAAACATGAGCAAGCCATTGTGTGAAAGATCAATGGCCGTAAGAGTTCTCAGTTGTTGTGGACCACTAAAAAGAAACCCAGTGAAATTGTTTGAAGAAAGAAAAAGGATTTGAAGCCGATGGAAATTAAAGATAGACGTGGGTATTGGTCCTTCCAAATTGTTGAAACTCAATTCAAGGGAATATAAGTTGGAAGAGGTGTTAGCAAATGCATGAAGTTTACCAGAGAATTGATTGCCGGAAAGTACTAGTCTTGTCAACAAGGGAAGATAAAAGAGAGACGATGGAATACTCCCCTCAAGTAGGTTGCCATCCATTTGGAGATCTACCAGATTAATAAGGTTTTCCCAGCGAATAGAATCAATCGAACCATTGAAGCAATTTGATCCCAATTGCAAACCAACCAATTGTGTTAGGTTTGCTATTGACTCTGGGATTGATCCATAGAAACTGCAAGATGAAAGATCTAGGAGTGACAGCTTTTTGAGGTTGCCAATAGAGTCAGGCAGTAACCCTGAAAATTTTGTGTCGCTTAGAACTAAGGACCGAAGAGATGCATTGCTTGGAAATTCTGGCAATGTGCCATGAAGTTCATCATTGGTCGAAAGGTAAAGAGTTTGTAGAGTAGGTACCTCAAGGATCTCATTGGGAAATGTTCCCTTCAACCCACAAGATCTGAGACTCAAGGAAGTCAACTCTGAAAAATTGGCAAAGAATCCTGGAACCGTAGCAGAGATGTTGTTAACATCCCATTCCAACTCCCTCAGGTTTGAAAAGTTGGCAAAGAATCCTGGAATTGGACCGGAGATATCATTAAAACCCAATCGAATCACAGAGAAAGACTGAAGCTGAGCGAAGGAGAACTGATCAATGGGACCGGAAATACCAGTGTCAGACAAGCTCAGCACCCTCAAGTTTGTCAGATTCGATATCGCTTGGGACCAGTGAGTCCCCTCTGCTGACAAATGTACATGGTCAAAATATAGCTCTGCAAGCTCTGTGAGGTTATGAAAGAGCATACTTAACTTCGGGGACGTAATGTTGGAGTCTTCTGACCCAGACATATCAAGGACAACCAACCTTGTCAAGCGTGAAATCTCAATGGGAATTTCCCCAAAGTAAGTATTATATGATAAATTTAGATACCTCAAGTTCACAAGTTTTCCGATTGCTGATGGAATCTCATGGTCAAAATAGTTATCAGCCAAATTGAGGCTTTGAAGATGTTGAAGATCGAAGAGACTGCTCGAGTTGCCAATGCCACCGCTGATAGTTTCGTTGCTGAGGTCAAGACCAACGACATGCCCATCGCTACTGCAAGTAACACCAACCCAAGAACAACAATCGGTACTTGAATTCCAAGATGTAACCTTGGTTGGGTAAGATAAAGGGTCAGGATAAAATTGAAGGCTTTTCTTCAAATGGAGCAATGATAGTTGCTGGTCTTTAAAACATCGGCTGTGAACCGCAGGGATGATGGCAAAACAGACAGTGGTGATTAAGAATAGGAGCAAGAAATATTGGAGCAAATGTTTCATTTTTGTTTTAACTTTTTAATTCTAGAGACGCTAGCTAACAGGGAAAGTGATGAACAACTGATGAGAAATAAAGGTTGTGGTGGCTTTAACATATATATATGACACCGATCATGTTTGTGGTCGCCGTTGTTGGCTTGACTTTGAAGTCTTCTCCCGTCTGTAACCAGGAAAAGGAAACCATGGAATTTTGCTGTACAAGTACCATGAGAGAGAGACAGCCTCGTTGAAGACATTTGATGCATGATAAGTCATACTCCCATAAATGCATGCATGTTTTTCTCGATGAAGTTAAGTGTCCCATCCACTAACGTGCTGGGGTTTCCATAAATGCATGGTCGTGTTCCAGTTCCTCATAATACCTAAGTTGAAATTCCCTTATCGTAAATTAGATTAATCTAGAGAGCCCACAATTCTTTTTTTATTTATTTATTTTTTCTTACAATAGAGAACCATTACTAGCACACTACTTTGATTTTTTTTTTTTCATTGCGGCTTGCTAAAATTATGTTACACTTGTGCAATATCAATTTGCATTTTATTCCGAGTTAAACCACCATTTGCATTTTATTCCAAGTTAAACCCGATTAAACTTGAATTTTTAAACATTTAACAACCAAAAGTACCGAACTCTATTACACGTTTACAATAGCGTGAATTATGGAAAATTTGTCACATATGATGATTGTGGAAATTGTGAGGTTGCTTTATGGATTGACTTGTTGACTTTGTGGTTTCCTACTTGGAATTTTGGGTGAGTATTGACTTGGCTAAGTTCAATAGTCATAGCTCATGGCCCAGTGGAAGAAATGATTTCTGTGGCCTGTGCTATAGGTCTAGGGTTCCCATTATATCATATGCACGTACGTTCATATTGATTTCTGGATTGGAAGAGGAATTCTCCATAATCTTGAATAGACCTTAGACATGAAGATGCTGAGGAAATTTCGAACCAAAGAGCTCCGTAATCTTGGAATCAAGTTCACATACATAAATGCTCCTTATATAACAACCTTGCATGTCGTTTAGCTATGTACCAAGCTAACCTACTTTCAGTCTTTTAAGTACTAATTTCAAAATGGTACCTTAAGGAGCATTTTTACAGAAACTAATAGTAAAGACCATTTTGATGTGTGGAAGGTAACCTTAAAGACCATTGGTGTCACAAAAAAAACCTTAGGGACAAAATGTGATAATTTCACACACCTCAAGGACCATGTGTGATAAAAAGCCTAATGAATTTTCACACTATTCACATTTAATATATGTATTTTTTTTACAAACTTTTGAATAATACCAGCAAACTTTATGTATTATACACGTATTATTAAGTAAAAATACTACACTTTAAAATTTTAAATAATTAATATTGATATACTCTATATTCCTTTTTTTTTAAATAAAAAATTTGTCAGATAATATGTATACACATTTTATTCGTATTTTTTGGGTCCCGTATTTTACTAATTGAAGTATGGAAGTAATTTCACCTTTAGATTTATACTAAAATCCACGTTATTGAGAGACAACGCTCAGACTATAATGAGGGGTAAGTTATAAAGGGTTCACTTTATAGTCATTGGATCAATCCAAGGGCTGGGGAGAATTGGGATAAAGTTGTGCAATCGGGTAGGTGAGGAACCCAAACCCGAATTTAATATCCAGCAATGAAGTTGGTCCCAAACAAAAAAAAAAAAAAAAAAAAAAGCGGCAAGTTCGAAGTTTGAACAGAAAAAACCCATTGATCTCAAACTCATAGCTCAGAGAAACCGCTAAGCTCTGCGAAACGATTGAAGGCAACGGGCAACGACGGTTGAACGCAACTCCACTATTTAAACCATGAAAAAGTATTTATTTTGAGTGGAAGGAGCAAAGGCGTGGATTCTGAAACAGTGAAAAGACGAAGCAGTGGAAGGGGAATGAGAGAAGCCGTATTCGTTGGAAGTGATAGGTTCCATTTGTGGAGCAAAGCCGCACAAAGACCCAACACAGACACCTTGCGATTGTTCAATAACCAGCATTTGGTGAGTAATTTATGGAATTTGAGTTTAGAGTTAGAGTAACGTTTTTCCCAATTTGTACCATGAATGTTGTTAGATTTGGCATCTCTTCTTTGTGCTTCACTTGCATGTTAATTTTTGCTTGGGTATATGTTAAAAAATGAATGAAAATAAAGTCAATAACATGTCAATAATGATATGAATAAGGTAATGGTATTGAATTGTAGGAGACCCTCAAAACCTTCCACATTTGAAGCAGTGCAAAGTGCAGATTATCTCTCTGGCGCTAGAATATATATAATTTTTGAAATATATATTATTTCCGTTTTTACTAAATTTGCCTGTTAAAAATGAGAACAGATAATAATAAACTCATGAATAAAAATGCAAAGCATTTGAAAAAAGGTTGATCTATGACGATTATGGCTGACTGAAGAAAAAGCTAGAAAGAAAGAAGGATGTGGCAATGGCTTAGCGAGCAAATAGCAGAGCAGATGCTTTGCTTTGCTTCCTTCCACCATCTTTCTTATTTATTTATTTATTTTGTGTTGTGTATGAGATGACAATAATTGTCATGTGTGTGAAGTGCAGAACTTGCCTAGATTGCACTCACACTC